TCACTCAGGGCCTGGCTGGTGCTCTGCTGTTAGGGGCTACGGGCTGTGCTGCTGGATCAGCCCCTCTCCCCGCTCAGCCGGACGTCTCTTCTCCTAGCAGGCTCCCAGCTGCAGATCTACACCCCCCCGTCCTCCCAGGCCCCGCTGGGCTCTGGGGCGCTGCTGAAATGCCGGTTCAGCATTGGGGAGCAGATTGACCTGAGCTCCCTGCGGGTTCAGTGGTATTTCTCAGGGCGCCGGATACTGGAGTACCCACCGGGGCAGGGAGCTCCCCAGCCCGGAGCCAGCATCTCGGAGCAGGAGCTAAGGAACGGAAACGCCTCGCTGTCGCTGGCCAGAGTGACGCTGTTTGACCAGGGGCCGTATAAATGTGTCGTCGGGTACGGTGTGGAGGAGCTGCAGAGTGAGACGACCCTCAGCGTGGCCGGTGAGGAGACTGGCCCCTAAGAGAAACACGCTGGGCTGGTGGGTGTGATGGGCCAGGGTCTATGTACTGCTGGATTCCCTGCAGGGTGTGGGGTGTGAGAGGGGTGTGTGTGTGTGTGTGTGTGTGTCGCCCCCCGTGCAGTGTTGTGTGAATGCTCACAAACAAGGGCAAGGGGCAGTGTTGGTGAGGATGTGTATGAGTCAAACTTGTTGCTCCTCTGTAACTTCCAGCTGCTCCGAGAATCTCCATCCCCCGGCGATCGGCCAGGAAAGATACTGAGAGCTTTTTCCTGTGCCACGTGTGGGGATTCTACCCTGAGGATGTCACCGTCACGTGGCTGAGAGACGGGCGGGTTCTGACTGACGCCACCCGCTCTGCCCCCCAGAGGAACCCGGACAGGACCTTTAATCTCACAGCAGTTTACATCTTCACCCCCATCGAGAGTGACTCCGGCAGCATCTTCTCCTGCCGCGTCAGCCACGCGGCTCTGGCCCAGCCCCTGCAGGAGGAGTTCCCCCTGGCTGTCACAGGTGAGCCTGGGCTAGAGGGACTGGAGCATAGAGACACAGGGATCCCCATCTCCATCACTCTGCTACAGGGAGTTTCTCCTGGTTAGGGGAGGTGCGTTAAGCTCAGGGTGGCACCTGCGAGCTCCACCAGTGTCATGGTCTTCTGTACCAGATCTGGACTGGGTCAGAGCTGGCTTCCACACCCCAGATATGTTCATCCTGAGATCCGGTAATGCTCTGCCAGGTCTGGCTGTTGCGAGCTTAGAGAAGGTGTGTTGCACCCAGTGCCCCAGTGGCTGAACAGTGTAATACAATTCAGCATCCCAAGACATGTCCCCCTTGAAGTGCTACTTTCCTACCATTGACAATAGTGACTCTGTCACGCTGTCTTTGGGGTTCAGAGCAGATCCGTTTGTAAAGTGTCTTTGAATCGTACCCAAATGCGGAACAACAGGGTTATCTGGCATTGAGTTGATCCTTGACGTGCTTTATGGACGAGGTTTAGAATTTCTCCTCTTGTTTCTTTTGGGATTGTGATGCAATTGCCTTTAATCATGAGCCCATTTGACTCAATTCATTGTCCAAACTCCACAAAGTCGTCTCTTGTCACTTCCTTAATTAGTGGCCGTTAGCTACTGGGACCAGCCAGGTCTCAGTCTCAGCGCTGGGGGAGGACAGCTCAGCACAGGTTGTGTCCTGGAGCAGAAATATAAATACGAAGCACGTTCCCAAGCAGGGCTGCTTTACGGCCTGTGGTGACTGGTACGGCTTTGGTGGTGTGCTAAGATCATCAGTGAGAGACACAGGCTGAACAACCCACCAACCACCTTAAGGGCTTACAGATCAACCCATGTGCCGCTCGATCTGCATGGATGCCATGGCCTTTTGGGATTTGCCTTGATGATGATGGTGGTTTGGTGTAAACTTCTGGCATCTTCCAGGTTTGGCCCAGCTCTGCTCCTGCCCCAAAGTGACAGAAAATCCAGGGACTTGGGATGTTTTGTTTCCTGGAAAATTTAAGCAGGAATTTAATTCTGCCTCGCATTCCAGCTGCTCCCAGACTCTCCATCCCCCGGCGATCGGCCGGGACAGACACAGCAAGCTCCTTCCCCTGCCACGTGTGGGGATTCTACCCCGGGGACGTCACCGTCACGTGGCTGAGAGACGGGCGGGTTCTGACCAACGCCACCCGCTCTGCCCCCCAGAGGAACCCAGACGGGACCTTTAACCTCACCCTGACCTACACCTTCACCCCCACCATGAGCGACTCCGGCAGCATCTTCTCCTGCCACGTCAGCCACGCGGCTCTGGCCCAGCCCCTGCGGGAGGAGTTCCCCCTGGATGTCACAGGTGAGTCTGGGCTGGAGACCCCGTAAAACGCCAGGTGCTGAAGGGAGGACTCGGTGCAGCAGGGCTGAGTGGCAGTAGCGTAGCTAGTGGGGTGCAGGGGAAGCAGCCGCTTCCCCTCGGCACATTTTCCAAAAGAGGCGCCTTAGTTAGGGGTTACCATGGCGCCAGCGGGAAGGGCCCACGCTCCGCTCTGAAGCTTGGCCTGCCGGGCCGGCGCTGGGCTCCTGCAGGCGGGGGGGGGGCAGCACATCCGTAGGAGCCATGGGGGGGGGCAGCACGGCCGGAGGAGCGAGGGGGGCTCGGAGGCGCTTTCAGCGCAGGAAGCCGCTTGCGCGCTGTGCGCCCTGAGCCTTGGAGAGGTGGGGGCGCTGCGCCCTAGTGCACGGGCCCCTCCCCAGCTCAGGCAGCAGGGCCCCGGGATGGTATCCGGTGCCTCCGCCGCTGCTGGTGGGAGGGAAAAGCCGCTCAGTCCCCGGGGCCATCTCAGCGCCCTGGAGTCGAGCCGGTGGGTGGGGAGCCTGGCTATGGTGCCCGGCTCCTGGCTGCAGCGCCCGGGGAGAGCCTAGCGGCGGTGCCCCAGGAAGCGAAGGAGAGCCCCCAGCTCCGCCCGCCGCAGTGGTTCCCTGTGCTGCCATGTGCGAGGCTGCGGCTGAGGCTCAGGGATTCCGGCTGCCGGATGGTACAAGCCCCTGCAGCCACAGCCTCGCACATGGCAGCCCGCAGCGCGGCCGGAGGAGCCAGTGGGGGGG